GCCAGGCCTTTTTGAAAATGTTCATTTAGCCATTTAATACTAACCAGATGGCTTTTAAACCTGTAGTTTTTATATTTTCTTCTTTTTCTTTCTTGCTCCCATCTTTTTTTTTTTTTTTTAATTCCCAGTGGGTATGTGCACTCATCAGAGAGAGAAGGAGAAAGAGAGAGAGAGAAATAAAGACAGGGAAGGAGAGAGGGAGAGGGGGGAGCATGCCCCTGATGGAACATGGTCACTCCGCAATCCCTTTTCCTCCGTTTCTTCATCCTGTCAAGATGTGGGACATGAACACATATGCGCCCAACATGTTTTTCAAGCTGCCAGGATTGGAATTTGAACCATATGACTGGCCCTGTTGGGTTCTTCTCCCTTAACCACCATGCTATGTGGCCAACCCCACGTTTTGTTGTTCTTAAAACATCAGCCAGGCTGGTCCCATGGACTAGTGGTTAAGGGAGCCAGGTTCCCATTTCCATATGGCTCAAGACCTGGACTGGGGGACCTGAAAAACATGCCAGGTACATGTGTGTGCATGCCCAAAATCCCAAAAAGGAAAATGAAGAAGACTGGATTATGGGATGACCATGCCCCCCTTGGGGGCGCTCTCTCTTGCTCTCTTTCTCTCTTTCTCTCTCGTGACCATGCCCCCCTTGGGGGCACTCTCTCTTGCTCTCTTTCTCTCTCTCTGGCAAGTACACATGCTCGCTGGCTTATAAACAAACAGAAAAACTAAAGCCCAAACACAACTTAATTAGCCAACCTCAAAGCTTACTGTCTCCTTTATTAAAAAAGAATTATTTATTTAATTCCATTTGCTATTATTATTATTTTAATTTGACCAGACAGAGACATAGCGAGAGAGAGAAAGAGAAGGCAAAAAAGCATGCCACCAGGTCCAGGACTCGAACTGTGGTTGACCTTGTGGGAATCCAGCATCTTTAATCACCACACCACCCACCGGCTCCTCTTCCCATCTCATTTAAAAAAGATATGAAGAAACTTTCCTTAGACTCACACTGTGTGGCCTGAGGGAGACTTAGAAGAGGTTTCCGAGGCTCTCGCTCGTGCTGGAAGCTCACCTGTTTTGTCTGATGGAGATGGAGTAATGTGTAGGCGCCTGTCCTCAACAGGTCAGAGGAATAAAAATCTAAGGAAAGGAGGGACCAGCAGTTAGCCTAATGGCTATGTCTCAGAACTCCCATGTAGCCGACCGCAGTTTGAGTCCCAGACCCGGTAGCTTAAACTCACACCGGGCACGTGTGCGTGTGTGCCCAAGATCCCGAGAGGAGAATGGAGAAGAAGGGATTGTGGCATGGCCATCTGCCCTGGGGGGTGATTTCTTGCTTTCTGTCTCTCTGTCTTTCTGGCAAGTGCATGCACCCTATAGCAAAAACATCTCAAAAACAAAAACAAAAAACCTAAGGAAAGGAAATATGAAAAACAAAAATCTAAAAAATACACGGTGTGAACATACTCACATAAAAAATATGTTCTCTAAAATTCTCACCAATTCTCAGCATTGACTGGGAGACCTCGTCTTTGTATTGACCTAAATGGGCAGAAAAGCTCACTCTTATTCCCCTGGAGTTGATGTTTTTCTTTTCCATTCCAACTACTCTGTTTGTGGTATTAAGAAAATGAGAGTCCACCGTGGTTGACGAGTATCTTCTATGTTCCATACCAGAAAGTGCACGCCTGCAAGATCCATGTACAAATGGCCCATGTCACTGGGTACAACAGGGTGCTAGGGCAATTCCCAGGTATGTGCAAATAGCATATCAATTCAGAAAGTGAACTCACTTGCTCACATTGTTGAGTCACGGGGTGTATGTGCTTACGTTGCAGACCCCAGCTCTGCAATCTAGTCCTACCTTCTTTCTTTTTTTCTTTTTTTAGTTTTTTGCCATAGGGTGCATGCTCCTGCTGGAGAGAAACAGAGAGATAGAGACAGGGGAATGAGCACACGGCAATCCCTCCTCCACTCTCCTCTCAGGATTTTGGACATGCACACGCACATACACATACATCCAGCATGATTTTTCAAGTCACTGGATCCGGGGCTCGAACTGTGATTGTCCATGTAGGAATCCAGCCTTAAACACCACCCACTTACAGGCCCTCTAGTCCTACTTCTGAAGATTGAGTGAAGAAGAAGAAGAAAATGAATACACGAAAGGTCTTCAAAAAGGTTATGGGAAACACCTATTGCACAAAAACTATGCATGGATTTCAAAAGTTTTTGCACCAAAGTAAACTCATACTGTAATTCCATTGTTACCATACTCCTTGAAGTCTGCTCGTGTGTCTGTCATTGCACAAACTATGTACCCATGTGGACATCAACTTTTTTACTTCCTGATTTTCAAAGAAACTGTACTATATTTTAAAATCAAACAAATTATTTCTCTACAAGATGATTATTTTTGCCCCAAAGTCCAGAGTATATAAAAATCCTCAACCCTCAGCTGCAGTTTTTTTTTTTAAACCTGGGGTATTTTTTATATAAGGAATCTCTTCTATCACTAAGGATTCTATACTTAGAATTCTATTTTTATTCTAAGATTTTCTGCTCTGTCGTATCTGCTATGTGCAGTATAAAGTGCTACAAATATGGGCAAGGTAGAAGTCATGTTTAAAAATTCTTACTATTTCCCTGTGCTTTTTCAGCATCCACGCTGGGAGTATACCTGTGGGTTCTCCTTGCCTTTCTGACTGCATTTCACTCTTCTTATCTTCTCTCGTTCATATTTCTTGTTATAACCCCAATTTGCAGACTGTGTTCCATAAGTTACATTTTTAGGTTGACTTACTCCCTGGAAATGTGTGCTGGGTGAACTTTTGGGTCACATGCACTAACTTTAAAAGTGTTTTGGGGGGCTGGCAAGTGGTATGGTGGTTAAAGGCGCTGGACTCAAATCCCGGACCTGGTGGCTTGCTTTCTCACTCTCTCTCTCTCTGATCAAACTGGAAAATAATAATAATGAACAAATAAAGTTACATAAAATAATTATTTAAAACAAGTGTTCTGGATAGTCGTTCTCAATATAGGTGGACTTACTTTTTCCTGCATTCAGTAAGAGTCTGGTAAGTACCTACTATGATCTAGAGTAGTAAGCAGAACAGTCCCCATCTCTAGAGAGCTTCACCCAAGGGAGCAGGGACAGCAATGTCCTTCATCCCAATGTGTCAAGCCCAGTAAGGGATTCATGGGTGAAGCGTAGATACTGCGTGTAACCCCTCAGGGTCCAGGAGGAGAGAGACATGACCACTTCCAACTTTCGAATGCTGCTCTGGATTATAAGAGGTGGCAAGTTAGCTCCCTCCCTTTAAGAAGGTCTTCTTGGGGAGACGATTTCACAACTGGGCAAAGTTACATGCATCCTTTTCACTTTCCAGGACAGAGGAAAGTCTTACTGAGCTTTGTCCTACTTTCCTCCCCTCCTGGATTCCAGGGGACCGGATTCGGTCTTCCTCCCACCAGGTCCTCTGGCCTAGTCTGGTTTGTCCAAGCTTCGTAAGCACCACTTTGCCTCTTGAAATGACCACCTGTTATGGAGGAGTGGTGACAGATATGTCGTGTTCACTGCCAAAATATCTTGCCAGGGTGACAAAAAAAATAGCCTACAGTTCATTACAAAGTGATCTGAGTGGTAACACGTGAAGACCAAGGACTGGGGAGATGATTATTTTTGCCCCAAAGTCCAGAGTATATAAAAATCCTCAACCCTCAGCTGCAGTTTTTTTTTTTTAACCTGGGGTATTTTTTATATAAGGAATCTCTTCTATCACTAAGGATTCTATACTTAGAATTCTATTTTTATTCTAAGATTTTCTGCTCTGTCGTATCTGCTATGTGCAGTATAAAGTGCTACAAATATGGGCAAGGTAGAAGTCATGTTTAAAAATTCTTACTATTTCCCTGTGCTTTTTCAGCATCCACGCTGGGAGTATACCTGTGGGTTCTCCTTGCCTTTCTGACTGCATTTCACTCTTCTTATCTTCTCTCGTTCATATTTCTTGTTATAACCCCAATTTGCAGACTGTGTTCCATAAGTTACATTTTTAGGTTGACTTACTCCCTGGAAATGTGTGCTGGGTGAACTTTTGGGTCACATGCACTAACTTTAAAAGTGTTTTGGGGGGCTGGCAAGTGGTATGGTGGTTAAAGGCGCTGGACTCAAATCCCGGACCTGGTGGCTTGCTTTCTCACTCTCTCTCTCTCTGATCAAACTGGAAAATAATAATAATGAACAAATAAAGTTACATAAAATAATTATTTAAAACAAGTGTTCTGGATAGTCGTTCTCAATATAGGTGGACTTACTTTTTCCTGCATTCAGTAAGAGTCTGGTAAGTACCTACTATGATCTAGAGTAGTGAGCAGAACAGTCCCCATCTCTAAAGAGCTTCACTCGAGGGAGCAGGGACAGCAATGTCCTTCGTCCCAATGTGTCAAGCCCAGTAAGGGATTCATGGGTGAAGCGTAGATACTGCGTGTAACCCCTCAGGGTCCAGGAGGAGAGAGACATGACCACTTCCAACTTTCGAATGCTGCTCTGGATTATAAGAGGTGGCAAGTTAGCTCCCTCCCTTTAAGAAGGTCTTCTTGGGGAGACGATTTCACAACTGGGCAAAGTTACATGCATCCTTTTCACTTTCCAGGACAGAGGAAAGTCTTACTGAGCTTTGTCCTACTTTCCTCCCCTCCTGGATTCCAGGGGACCGGATTCGGTCTTCCTCCCACCAGGTCCTCTGGCCTAGTCTGGTTTGTCCAAGCTTCGTAAGCACCACTTTGCCTCTTGAAATGACCACCTGTTATGGAGGAGTGGTGACAGATATGTCGTGTTCACTGCCAAAATATCTTGCCAGGGTGACAAAAAAAATAGCCTACAGTTCATTACAAAGTGATCTGAGTGGTAACACGTGAAGACCAAGGACTGGGGGTCTTAGGAGCCAATGGAAGCTTCCTCCTCAGGCTGCCGTGTGCTTGTTCCCTGCAGACTGATTGGCACTGCGACTATCTCCCTGAAGGACCTGATTGGCGACCAGAGCAGATCCCTGCCCTACAAACTGATCTCCCTGCTGAACGACAAGTTTTTTTTTCTGCTGAACGAAAAGGGGCAAGAGACCGGGGTGAGCACTTCCCCTCTGTTGAAAGGCTTTGAAGTGAGGTGGTTGAGAGTAAGTTCATTAAGAGCATGAGGATCAGTCCGAGGTAAGTGGGTAAGGCAGCTGAATCACACAGCGCTGATGGGACAGTCGAGTCTCCAGCAAGTGGCTTGAAGAACATGCCATGCATGCGTGTGTACTTGCCCAAAATCCCAAAAGGAGGAAGAAATAGAGGAGAAGGGTTTGTGGTGTGACTGTCCCCTGGAGAGGGCGTACTCCCCACTCTCCCTGTCTTTCTCTATTTGTCTCTCTCTGGCAAGCATATGTGCCCCTTGGCAAATTAAAAGAAAAAGAAGAAAGAGCAAGAACATGGATGATAATTAGCTCACTATACTAAAAAAAAAAAGGCAGAAATCTGGTTTTGAGATAAAGTAATCAATTTGCAAATGAAATGGGCCTTCTAGTTTCAATAATGGAACTAGCAAATTGATGGGTTTACTTTTCTTCGATGGAATTCTCCAGTCTGAGTGGGACTGCATCTTGGGCACGACTGTGCTTACTGTGGGGGTTAACGTGTGTGGTTATATGTGGCCCTGTATGTCAGACACTCCTTGAAACAGTCTCTGGAGTTTACTTTATTAATGTTACTTTGGAGCATCAAGATGTTAATGTTATTATCTTTATTGTTTCATCAGTAGCTGAATTTTTTTTTTAGAGAGATTTTTGCTATAGGGCATGTGCTCGCCAGAAAAAGAGAGACAGAGAGACAGAAAGTGAGAAATCACCCCCCAGGGGGGATGGCTACACTGCAATTGCTATAGCTTCATTCTTGTCCCAGGATCTTGGGCACTCACACACACCCTATGTGAATTTTTTTGGAGAGGTTTTTGCTATAGGGCATGTGCTCGCCAGAAAAAGAGAGACAGAGAGACAGAAAGTGAGAAATCACCTGCGAGGGGGGATGGCCATGCCGCAATCCCTTCTCCTCCATTCTCCTCTTGGGATCTTGGGCATGCACACACGCGCGCCTGGCGTGAGTTTAAGCCACCAGGTCCGGGACTCGAACTGCTGTCGACTACATGGGAGTCATAACATAGCCATTATGCTAACTGATGGTCCCGTCCCTGTGCGATCTTTTAGCCACCAGGTCCAGGACTCAAATTGCGATTGGCCATGTGGTAGTCCAGAAACATAACCACTACAGCATCTGCTGGTCCCAGTAGCTGAATATTTGAATATTTTTTATTTTAATTTTTTTTTAGAGAGAGAGATTTTTGCTATAGGGTGTGTGTGCTTGCCAGAGAGACAGAGGCAGAGACAGAAAGTAAGAAATCACCCCTCCCCCCTGCCATGGAGTGGCCACAATGCAATCCCTTCTCCTCCATTCTCCTTTCAAGATTTTAGACAGGCACGCACACGTGCTCAGCATGACTTTTAAGCTGCCAGATTTGGGACTTGAACTACGGTCAACTACATGGGAGTCCAGCAATGTAACCATTATACCATCTGCTGGTCTCAAGTTGCTGAATACATTCTAATCACAGCCTCTCGCAGTGCATATCGATAATGTTTGAATTTTTCTCAAGCATGTTTACAAAAAAGTAGTTCAAGTGTCACAGGCTCAGATTTCATGATTATTATTATTAAGTGCTCATAAAGCTATCATGCCAGACCCATAATCCTAATCCCTTCATTTTCCAATAGCCTTACTTTGCTTGTGGGCAAAAGGAGAAAAATTTATACTAAAAGAGGAGATCCTTGTAGGCTTCTTGATGTCCATGAGAGAACGTCAACTTTCTTGATCCAATCTCAAAAATGTAGAGGTTTGCCAGGAACCAGCAGCCTAATAATAACATCTAAATTCAAAATGGCGGCCACCTTCTCTCTACCCAAACCTGGCTGAGAGGAATGATACTCAGGGAAGATGGTATAAGTCAGTGACTTCACTGCTTGCTTTTTTTTTAAAGCAGAGAGCACATGTAGAGCCGTAAAATGTCAGAGCTGTTGTGTAAGGAACGTAAGGGCCTAGGCCTGCTGGGGGTTCCTGAAGCACCTTTGGGAACCCACAGGTTACCAGGAACCCAGTCTAGGGAATGCACCGTCATGCGCTCCTCTAGATCTGGGAAGTGTGAGTGTTAGATTACGTTCAGCAGCCGAGCCTTTGCTCTCCCTGCACTCTGCCTGCGTCGTGGCCTTGGTCTCCAACGTAGGTAGTGTACGACGCTGCTCCATTATTCTTTATTGCTGTGAACTGTGGTTGGGGCCACATACTATCCACATTCAGTACCTTTCAGTCAGTACTTGTAAGTCAGTCACAGAACGTGCTCATTCGTGAGGGGATATTTACTGATGAGCAAACAAATGGGAAAAATAAGGGCTATGCTGTGTGTGTGTGTGTGTGTGTGTGTGGTGTGTGTGTGTTAGACTTTAGCAGAGGTAGCAAAATTAGCAAATGGAGGTATCAGATGTGTATTTAAATTTGAATTTCAGATGAACAATAAATACTTCTTTAGTGAAAGCATGTCCTACATATGGGGCCAGACAATGGTGGCATGTGTGCAACAGTAAAACACAACCCTCTGAGAAGCAATCCCACTTGGAAAGGTTCCTGGTGCAAGTCCAGAGACATCCCTGAGTACAGTGGGCATGCACTTGCCTGTGATCTGTGCTGGCTGAAGGCGAGGTGTGGATCATAACAACAGGACCGCACTAGGGGGGCGTCTCTCTGGCTCTTTCTCTCTATTTTTCTTGCTCATGGAAGAACTAAATATTATTTTGATTAAAAAAATTTTTTTTCTGGCCACTTGCTGAGTATATGTTTATATGTGCAGGCTAGCCGTCATTATTTGCAAAATAATCCCTTTATTCTGAGGTTTGCCTTTCTTCATTTTTGGTGTCAAAATTCCTTTCCTTTGTGATGAAAGTTGTGGGTATGTGTTTGGCCAAATAAAAGTTAGCAGCTTTGTGTTGATTATTACTGGCAAACTTCTCTGAAACTTTGTAGGTTCTTGAAATATCAAAGCATAGGAAGCCGTCCTAAAATAATGGCCTGTATGAGAAATTTATGTCAGATTTTATAAATAGGGATAACTTTATTTCCTCTAAGGAACTAGCATGTTTCTTCCTTTCCGATAATGAAAGTTACATAATATTATTTCCCTTTTCGCTTTGGCTTCCAGGTATCTTGGGGTCACAGTTTATGTAAGAGAGATGGCAATTATGTTTACCTTTATGGTTCTTTACAGATTTGTTTCCTCTTTAATTAGGATTAGTTCTCCCTTGCCTATTTTATGAATCATATTGTTGTATACTGTTTTTGTGTTTGTCACTTAAAATTATTTTTTAGAGGGAAGTGCAAAAATAAATCTCAGCAATTAGTAAGGCAATGGGCAGGGCCAGCAGGTGACATGGTGGTTTAGGCACTGGACACTCCCATATGGCCGACCACAAGTCCTAGACCTGGTAGCTTGCTTTCTCACTTTTCTTCTCTCTCTCTCTCTGTCTTTCTCTCTCTCTCTCTGTCTGTCTTTCTCTCTGATAAAATTAAAAATGAATGAATGAATGTATTAATTAAATAAATTAAATAATTAAATAATTATTTTTTTAAAATTAGAAAATAAGACCGTGGGCAACCAAGTAAATTAATCATGTGAAATGAGCCCATGTCATCGCAGCCTGCAGTGAGAGGCCATCTCTCCGTCTGCGATGGAGGCCACCAAGCCAGTTCACACTTGCCTGCCACAGCTTCACCCAGTGTGTGAGGCCGCCTTTCGCAATGGTGATGCTCGGCAACCTGTAACAGGAAGTACCTTTCCCACTCAGCCCTGGCCCCCGTGTGGGAAGATAGAAACAGCCAAGCGTCGGTCACCTCTCCCCCTTCCTCTTCGCACTAGGAAATAGGAATCGATGTGGACTCCTGC